TGGCCCCCAGGACTCACTGTTGACACACGTGCGGTTTCGTCTTTCTGTGCCTGTGTTCATTCCATGCGGTCTTGTCCAAGTTCAGTCGTGTTCTCCTGCACGGTTCCCGCAGCCTGTACCCTTTCCTGGAACCGCGCGTGCTTTGTGAGACCAGGATTCCCAAAACTTCCAAAAGGGTTTCTGCCGTGTGAAATCTTTCATCGATGCGAAGCAAGAACTGAGGTATCCCAATCCAGAACCCTAACATCTGGGGCCATGACCCAGAGATAAAAACCAAATCTCATATTCCTAGAGCCAGCGATTCATCTCTCTGTCTCCCTGACTCCCTCTGGCTGCACCCTTCATTTTGACTCCCCTTCGAAATCTGTCACCACTTGGGTCAAAGTGGACAAGCTCTGGCAGCCAGATCGAACTTTCTCATGGGATCGAACTCACTAAGTGTCAGACCAGCCTTCATCGGAGGGAGATGGGACCGTCTTCTCTCAGATTCCTCTGAGAAATCTTTGCCCCGTGCAGTTGGCTTATAGTGAGTGCCACCCTGCTCTTCAAAGACTGCTGATGGCTCCCCTGCACCCTGTCACCATGCATCTGCCTCCCTTGCAATTCCTGCCTCCCTGTTTCCCCCGTGGGACACCAGCAGACTCTTGCCAACTGAGGCCCTGAACTCAGCTCCTGAAAGCCCTGCCATCTTCCCCTGCTTTTCTAGCACATTTCACCCATGTGGCTGCCTCCCTAGTAACTCCCAAACTGCTGCTTGCCTGTGCCGGTTCACTCGGTTGGTTGGTTGTCTGTAAGATACCTGCTCCCCATCCTCTCTCCCCTCTGAAGGCTGCTTCCACTTTTTTCTTTCTTTCTTTCAGAATAACTGAACACCTGATCCTCGCGAACCTTGTCAGGATGGTGTCTCAAATGGTGTCTCTTGCTCCACCCCTGGGTCTAACCAGGTGTTCTGGGGTGGGACTTATTGGCTAACCAGCCTCTTCTGCTTTCTCTCCTGATTTGTCTTCCCTGTTGCCCTTCTGGTTTTTCAGGCTGGTCCCACCCAGTGCCCATGGTTCCTCGAGGGGGTGGGGGAGGGTCCTCCTCCACCCATGTGGTCTGCCTTCCTCCATCTGTTCAGGTTTGGGCCCCTGACCCTTTCCAGTTGCTCCAAGCTAGCACCTTTCCTCCAGTTTATAGATAAGCCAGAGAAAAGGGCATACAGTGAACCCTCGTTTATCACGGTTAATGGGTTCTAGACCCTACCGTGATAAATGAAATTCCGCGAAGTAGGATTCCTTATTTGTAAATCAAATATTTTCGTAGTTAGAGCATAGAGGACATGAAAAAA